ATTATTTAATAGCTGACTTACTAAATTGTAAAAGTAGTGTAATATGACGATGATATAATTTCAGCCTTGTTGAAGATAATTCTTGAATACAAGTGCTTTAATTTATAGACTTTATTTTGCATTCTATATAATATATATATTCTGAGTATAATTAAACTTTATGGTGAAAAATTAGATTTTGAATTGAAGCACAATACTTCAAATACCTTAGTTGAATAATAGATTTTTATTGCTGTAACAGTTGTTGACATGCTTGTATTGAATGATTGGATTCTTATTTCTCAGGTAAGTAGATATGCTAGAGATTCTTATTTCTATATTAAATGATTGGATTCTTATTTCTCAAGGTTTCTTTAGGTAAGTGGATATGCTAGAGATTCTTATTTCCTTGTTGAATGACTAGATTCTTATTTCTCAAGGTTTCTTTAGGTAAGTGGATATGCTAGAGATTCTTATTGCCTTGTTGAATGATTAGATTCTTATTTCTCAAGGTTTCTTTAGGTAAGTGGATATGCTACAGATTCTTATTTCTATGTTGAATGATTGGATTCTTATTTCTCAAGGTTTCTTTAGGTAAGTGGATATGCTAGAGATTCTTATTTCTATGTTGAAGGATTAGATTCTTATTTCTCAAGGTTTCTTTAGGTAAGTGGATATGCTAGAGATTCTTATTTCTATGTTGAAGGATTAGATTCTTATTTCTCAAGGTTTCTTTAGATAAGTAGATATGCTAGAGATTCTTATTTCTATATTGAATGATTGGATTCTTATTTCTCAAGGTTTCTTTAGGTAAGTGGATATGCTAGAGATTCTTATTTCCTTGTTGAATGATTAGATTCTTATTTCTCAAGGTTTCTTTAGGTAAGTGGATAGACTTGAGATTCTTATTTCTATGTTGAATGATTAGATTCTTATTTCTCAAGGTTTCTTTAGGTAAGTGGATATGCTAGAGATTCTTATTTCTATATTGAATGATTGGATTCTTATTTCTTAAGACTTAGGTAAGTGGACATTTGCTTGAAATTTTAGGAGTAATTTTTCCAAGATATTTCATGAATATTCCATATATAGTGAAATCTAGTGGTAATTAGTGAGAGCAAATTTTGCCATACACATTGGAAATGCAGCATTTGTATTTCAGTTTGAAATTCATATCTTATGGGGAAACATTCTACTTTAAATTGAAACATTTTGATTGGGCTTTCAATTTTCTGACATTTTATCTATCCATACATCAAATATGAACATGTTCAAGCATAAAAGAAAGAAACAACCATGTTTTTTATATAACAACTTAGGTTTACAGGGATATTTTTCCAAGATAGTCTGTACCCATTTAAAGCTGATGATGAGGAAAAAGACTTATTCAATGTCACAAATCTTCCTGACTAACCATTAGCTGACTCTGATGGATATATCACCAGCTGATTGTGGGACTCTGACAGATATATCATACATCATCAGCTGACTCTGAGATGGATATATCACAAGTCATTAGCTGATTCTGAAACTCTGACAGATACATAATAAATCATCTGCTGACTCTGACAGTTATATCATAAATCATCAGCTGACTCTGATGGATATATCACAAGTCTTTAGCTGATTCTGAAACTTTGACAGATATATAATAAATCGTCAGCTGATTCTGAGATTCTGACAGATATATCATAAATCATCAGCTTACTCTGATGGATATATCATAAATCATCTTCTGACTCTGAGACTCTGACAGATATATCATAAATCATCAGCTGACTCTGATGGATATATTATAAATTGTCAGCTGATTCTGAGACTCTGAAGGATACCGGTATATTATAAATCATTAACTGACTGACAATTTCATAATTATATTATTATCTCTGAAATGGTTTTAATTAAATGTTATTTTTAACTCTATTGATTTCAATGAATATTTTAATCAAAGTTTGATAACAGCTTATCAATACTGTTTGATATCATATTCAGTAATAATCTGAAACACTCTGAATCCAGAGTGGAGCTTGTGTTGTCATCTTACCAAGTATTTCTAGTATTACATGAACCACAGAGTGTTGGACAGGATATTTATTTGTCTTGAATCATGAACTGCTCAGTTGAAACACACCAAAGCTAGCTTAAAACCAGCTTTTTTCTCTCAGTGGAAAGGCTACAAAGGGTCAACAAAATTGAAAATTTTCCTCAGTTTATTTATGATTTCAATAATTATGAAGAAAATTTTACTTGAAATACAAACAGTTTTGGTTTTGCTATCCCACAATTAGTCATGGTTATCAAAAATGGGTTCTATGTGACACTCTTTGATAACATCTTTAGAATGGGCTGAAAACTTGTTAGATTACCATGGAGACTAAAACATCAGAAAACTCTAAGAAACAAAATTGTAATCCAATATTGTTTCAACTTATGCTTGATCATCTTCACATCATCAAGCTATTACTTATTCTGCCTTATACCTTGACAATATGAGGCACTTTTCTTGAATCAGGGAAGTTTGTAAACGCAGCTATTTGATTTGATTGAATGATAAAAAATACAACCAATCAGAACCCTTAAATACACATGTGGCCATATTGATTAATGTCATTCTATCGTGGGGCTCTCATTGGCTATAAAGCTTGCTTGCTGACAGTAAATGAAATCTCTGCATTATAAACTTCCATGATTCAATATCTGTCTGATGATGACAAGGTATAAGACTGAGTTCATGATAGCTTGACGTTGTGAAGATGATGCTTAGTTTGAAAAACCACAATATCATCAATGACCATGCCACTGGTCATTTTCACTTTGTGGTACAATTCAAAAGCTCTTAAAAGCATGAATTGTGATCAGAACTTTATATACCTAGCTTGATTGTAAATAAACCAAATAACACACATAAATAATACGTACTATACAGTCAGATTTAATACCTATGAAAATATTATATACAAATAGTTTTTTGTGTTATTCTTAAAAACTTATTGTGCATCATATAACATTATACAAGGTTTCATGCAGTTACCCACGATATACATTCTATATTGCATTAATTATTAATATAAAACTTTATTAGTGATACAAAATACAGGACAATATCAATAATGTTCACTGTATAGAATGTTTCAGATTAAAATGATACAGCCTTAAAGAGGCTGTTACATCATTTTTGCGGGTTGATTTGAGTTTTGAATATATGTAAATAGTCTTCAGCAGTGCCAGAAATGTAAAAAAAAATGCAGAATTCCTTTACAATTACATCAAAATATAAATTTTACTCACTTTTTCCATATATGTCCTTTCTATATATCATAGAGTATCTGATCTTGACAGGTCATCATTTTAATATTCAAACACGGTTAATTCTGGACTTGAAGGTTCAAATTTTGACGGTGACCTGTGAACACTAAAGTACTGATTGACTTAGCTAAAAAATTCCTGTTTCTGAGACCTGTCTCTTTAATATTATTATTGAACTAAAAGTGAATAATGATTATTTATTTTACGTAGATAACAATACATATACAGTATAGAAACAGTGAATAATGACAGCTTCTGAGGAAAAACAACCACTTGAGCCTGTAGATGACAGTAAGTGGTCAGATTTCACTTTTGGTGATTTGATAGGTGATGGTGATTTTGGTGTTAGTGAAATTAGATTAAGATTATACATAGGTGACTGTGATTTTGCAAATCGTGAATTTAAGAATCTTGAACTTAGATGGGTGATGGTGAAATTAAATTGAGATTCCGGATTGGTGATGGTGAAATTAAATTGAGATTTTAGATAGGTGGTGGTGAAATTAAATGGAGATTTTAGATAGGTGGTGAAATGTAATGGAGATTCCAGATTGGTGATGGTGTACTTAAATTAAGAATCTAGATAGGTGATGATGAAATTAAATTGATATTTTAAATAGGTGATGGTGAAATTGAATTGATATTCTATATAGGTGATGGTGATATTAAAAATAAGATTCTAGATAGGTAGTGATAAAATTAAATTGATATTTTAGATTGGTGATGGTGAAATTAAATTGATATTCCAGATAGGTGATGGTGATATTAAAAATGTGATTCTAGATAGGTAGTGATGAAATGAAATTGAGATTTTAAATTCTAGATAGGTGTCATCAACACCTTCAATAATTTACTCTCTGTATATTATTAAACTAGGTTTAGTTTTGATTTTTCCTTTAGGAGAAAAGAAGTATTTTTGATTTTGAAGTATTTATATTGATGGGGCAGTCTGATTATTTAAGTAGATCGTGAAATTACTCAAAACTATACAAAACTGTCCAGAGTGTTCCTGACCATAAAAACTAACAACTGATAATAGTAGCTTCCGGTAGCTCCCCTCTAGTGATGTCATACAAAACATTAGTTTTCGTGGTATTGCAAGAACCACAGACAGAATGAAAATTAGAATGATGCAAATTGATGCTATCAATGTCCCCGATATACATAAAAAGTGTAGAAAACCTCTTTGCAATCCCTTATAATATATTTAAATATAATACCAATAAAGATAACAATTGATATTGTGTATTAAGTAGATTTTCAGGTAGCAGACCATATCATTTTAAAAATGACATAACTCTGATTTTAGACAGTGATATTATTAAGAATAATCAATATTATATGTTACTTCAAACTTCTAGGATTTCTTTGATTATTGTTAGGCATACCAGTAAAATTGAGGTTAGTTTGAAACCCAAGTAGTAAGATATTGATTTACAGTCAAAGTTTGTTCAACTTTAAAGGGATTGTAAAGAGGTTTTCTAAACTTTTGATGTGTATCAGTGATACCATTCCAATTTTCAGTTAGATGTCCATGCAGTCTAATTACAATTAGAGCCAACTACATTTCATCTTTGTAAGACATATAGACGCAGGAAGGTAAACATTAAGAACACAAGTTATATGGATATACTACTTCTAGTTTTATTACATATTACGTTTCGAAACACATACAGGTAAAGTTATTCGAAAAGTAGTATGTAATAAAACTAGAATTAGTATATCCATATAACTTGTGTTCTTAACTTTCGTTTCATTTTTTTATTAGATTTTAGTCTTCTTCCGTCTTTATCAACAAGTGATGTTTGGACAAAGATTCTTCCGTCTTTATAAACAAGTGATGTTTGGACGAAGATTCTTCCGTCTTTATAAACAAGTGATGTTTGGACGAAGATTCTTCCGTCTTTATAAACAAGCGACGTTTCGACGAAGATTCTTCCGTCTTTATCAATAAGTGATGTTTGGACGAAGATTCTTCCGTCTTTATAAACAAGCGACGTTTCGACGAAGATTCTTCCGTCTTTATCAACAACCGACGTTTGGACGAAGATTCTTCCGTCTTTATCAACAACCGACGTTTGGACGAAGATTCTTCCGTCTTTATCAACAAGTGATGTTCGGGACGAAGATTCTTCCGTCTTTCTCAACAAGCGACGTTTGGACGAAGATTCTTCCGTCTTTATAAACAAGCGACGTTTCGACGAAGATTCTTCCGTCTTTATCAACAAGCGACGTTTGGACGAAGATTCTTCCGTTTTTTCGCTTAAGATACCAAAATGAATATGAATAAGATTTGCTTCACAGCTAATCAGAACCCATCTTTTGAAAGTTTTTTTTACACTCACCAGATTGTGCGTTTTGTTATAGTTTTGTGAGGGGGACACAAATTGGTATTTAAAGATGGGTTTCTTTATTTTTTAGTATCAAATTAGGCAAAGTATTTGGTGTTTCTAATGAATTATCATATATTCTTAATTATATCATTATGTTCTTATTGCATATAATTAAGAGTTTTAACCAATCATAAATGTCTGTGTATGTACAGTCTGGATAAACAAAAAAAGACTTTTTGACCTTTCTTGATCAGTCACTCATTGGACAAACTGGTATTTTTCGAAGTCATTAGAACACCTCTACTTTCTATTCATATAGGTATTAGCATTTTCATTTTCATAAATGAAAATAAGGGAACTCATCTTTAAAACAACTTTTTTATTTCATGAATTTAAATACCGTTAACATTGTGCATATCTATCTGGGAAGGCTACTTTAATATCTTGTGGCTCATTATATTGATTGAAAAAAGAAATTTCATTTATTTATTATTTAATATTCTATATATTCTAGTACTTATAGATAAAATATATAGCAATCAATAACAACAAAATATATTGTAATATATATCATTACAATGTTCTGTGCAGTAATATAATAATTATATTATTAAAGAGACACTACCTCTTAGAATGCACTTAAATTTAACTTTTCAAACTTTATCAATATGAGTAAATATTCATCAATGGACTTACCTGGTGTAAATAATACAACAGAATTCCTGTTTAATCCAATTAATCCATGAAATTAACATAATTTTGAAAAATGCTTAAAAGCGTAATTATTTCTTTATTTTAAGTTTTATGGATTTATCAAATTATAGAGGGATTCTGTTGTATAGTTATGGCACTGGGTATGTCCAAAGATTAGCAAGTTTGAAAATCTAAAGTTTATGTTAATTCTAAGAGGTAATATTCCTTTAAAGCAGAACAAGAATTTTGTTGTTTGTTAAATCATCATACTGTGGGATCTTTGGCAGAATAAGAATAATGCTGTTTATATTATTTACAAAAATATTGCTTACAAAGATGTATATATAAATATTCTGAAATGTATTGTTAAGACTAGACAAAAGCTTATGAATATTATTGTCTGAGCAAAGTAAAAAATTTTAAATTTTTTTTATTATTTTTATGAGAATTGGAATAGCAGTCTCAAAATAGTACTATTAGTTTTAGAATGCTGGTGCATTGATAAAGATATAAACATGAGCACACATTATGTCTTCCAATTATTTACAGCCAGAGGCCCATATTTCTTGGAGGGGAATGTGTTTCTTTTCAATGCAGATGTACAAAAAATCATATCTTTATCAACACAAAGACATTCTAAGACTAACAGTACTATTTTGAGGCTGCTATTTTAAGTCTTATAAAAATAATGGATTCAAAAAACATTTTACTTTGCTCAGACTGAAGACATCTATTGGGACTTTTTAACAAATGTTACATAGACTATGAGAAATATGTCATTGCTAAAAATCTATGTATATGCATCTTTAATTTTTAATAGTGGAATAGACAATTTTATGTTTTGAATAACACCCAATGGATGTTTGTAAGTTGGTCACAGGAAATTGACCAATATACCTTGTGCTGTCTTTCTGTGACGCAAATACCTTTTGCCAGTATAACTGTGATCAAAATACCTTGTGCCCGTATTACTATGACCAAAATACCTTGTGCCCATATTACTGCGACCCAAGTACCTTGCCCTGTATTACTGTGACCAAAATATCTTGTGCCCGTATGACTGTGACCAAAATACCTTGTGCCTGTATTACTATGACCAAAATACCTTGCGCCCATATTACTGTGACCAAAATACCTAGTGCCCATATTACTGTGACCAAAATACCTTTTCCCTGTATTACTGTGACCAAAATACCTTGTCCCCTGTATTACTGTAACCAAAATACCTTGTGCCCATATTACTGTGACCAAAATACCTTGTGCCCGTATTACTGTGATCAAAATACCTTGTGCTCGTATTACTGTGACCAAAATACCTTGTGCCCGTATTACTTTGACCAAAATACCCTGTCCCCATATTATTGGACAAAAATACCTTGTGCCCGTATTACTGTGGCCAAAATACCTTGTGCCGGTATTACTGTGACCAAAATACCTTGTCACCGTATTACTGTGACCAAAATACCTTGTGCCCGTATTTCTGTGACCAAAATACCTCGTGCCTGTATTACTATGACCGAAATACCTTGTGCCCGTATGACTGTGACCGAAATACCTCGTGTCCGTATGACTGTGACCAAAATACCTTGTCTGCATATGACTGTGACCAAAATACCTTGTCTCCGTATGACTGTGACCAAAATACCTTGTCTCCGTATGACTGTGACCAAAATACCTTGTGCCCGTATGACTGTGACCGAAATACCTCGTGCCCGTATGACTGTGACCAAAATACCTTGTCTGCATATGACTGTGACCAAAATACCTTGTCTCCGTATGACTGTGACCAAAATACCTTGTCTCCGTATGACTGTGACCAAAATACCTTGTGCCCGTAATACTATGAACAATTTACCATGAAGATAGTACAAGATAAGATCTATAAATACAATAAACTAGTGATCTCTGTTCTGTATACAAGTGATTTCTATTTCTGTACTGTTATAAAAAACAGTAGTCGATCTATTATCTTATTGATATACCTATACACAACCAGGATGTTATAAACTATGATTATATATGATAAGATAGGGCACAATTTCTTTATATTTTATGATATAACTATCAAGGCTGTTTACTGCAGTGTTAATTTCATTTGGATTTCAGGTCTCTAATTACTTAAAAGGGCAATTTCCAGTATTTTAGTTGCAATTGTTCTACATTCAAGATTAGGTGTTTTTATATTGTTCAGTGTTTTATGATTTTTACCAGTATTTCAGTTGTAAAGTATTAACCATGTGGAATATTTTATATAGTTCAGTGTTTTATGATTTTTACCAGTATTTCAGTTGTAAAGTATTAACCATGTGGGATATTTTATATAGTTCAGTGTTTTATGATTTTTACCAGTATTTCAGTTGTAAAGTATTAACCATGTGGAATATTTTATATAGTTCAGTGTTTTATGATTTTTACCAGTATTTCAGTTGTAAAGGATTAACCATGTGGGATATTTTATATAGTTCAGTGTTTTATGATTTTTACCAGTATTTCAGTTGTAAAGTATTAACCATGTGGGATATTTTATATAGTTCAGTGTTTTATGATTTTTACCAGTATTTCAGTTGTAAAGTATTAACCATGTGGGATATTTTATATAGTTCAGTGTTATATGATTTTTACCAGTATCTCAGTTGTAAAGTATTAACCATGTTAAATATTTCAGTTTAAATAATCATGTGGAATGTTTTATATTGATCAGTGTTTTTTTTTTATTTTTACCAGCATTTTAGTTTAGATTAATCATGAGAAATATTTTGTATAGTTCAGTGTTTTATGATTTTTACCAGTATCTCAGTTGTAAAGTATTAACCATGTTAAATATTTCAGTTTAAATAATCATGTGGAATGTTTTATATTGATCAGTGTTTTTTTTTTATATTTATCAGCATTTTAGTTTAGATTAATGATGTGGAATATTTTTTATTGATCAGTGTTTTTTTTTTATATTTACCAGCATTTTAGTTTAGATTAATCATGTGGAATATTTTTTATTGATCAGTGTTTTTTTTTTATATTTACCAGCATTTTAGTTTAGATTAATCATGTGGAATATTTTTTATTGATCAGTGTTTTTTTTTTATATTTACCAGCATTTTAGTTTAGATTAATCATGTGGAATATTTTATATTGATCAGTGTTTTTCTTTTATATTTACCAGCATTTTAGTTTAGATTAATCATGTGAAATATTTTATATAGTTCAGTGTTTTTTTTGTTTTTTTTTACCAGCATTTTAGTTTAGATTAATCATGTGGAATATTTTTTATTGATCAGTGTTTTTTTTTTTATTTTTACCAGCATTTTAGTTTAGATTAATCATGTGGAATATTTTTTATTGATCAGTGGTTTTTTTTTTTTTTATTTTTTTATGTTTACCAGCATTTTAGTTTAGATTAATCATGCAGAATATTTTGTATAGTTCAGTGTTTTTTTTTCATTTACCAGCATTTTAGTTTAGATTAATCATGCAGAATATTTTGTATAGTTCAGTGTTTTTTTTTCATTTACCAGCATTTTAGTTTAGATTAATCATGCAGAATATTTTGTATAGTTCAGTGTTTTATGATTTTTACAAGTATTTCAGTTGTAAAGTATTAACCATGTGGAATATTTTATATAGTTCAGTGTTTTATGATTTTTACAAGTATTTCAGTTGTAAAGTATTAACCATGTGGAATATTTTATATAGTTCAGTGTTTTATGATTTTTACAAGTATTTCAGTTGTAAAGTATTAACCATGTGGGATATTTTATATAGTTCAGTGTTTTATGATTTTTACAAGTATTTCAGTTGTAAAGTATTAACCATGTGGAATATTTTATATAGTTCAGTGTTTTATGATTTTTACCAGTATTTCAGTTGTAAAGTATTAACCATGTGGGATATTTTATATAGTTCAGTGTTTTATGATTTTTACAAGTATTTCAGTTGTAAAGTATTAACCATGTGGGATATTTTATATAGTTCAGTGTTTTCATATTTTTACAAGTATTTCAGTTGTAAAGTATTAACCATGT